AGCAACTGTAGTAAATACAACGGTTTATTTAAAATTATAAATTAATGAAATCAACCATTGTAACATTTACATTGCCCCCAAAATTTATATAACAAAGGATAAAATGAGAATAAAAATTACGAATAGCATTAAAAATGATCCATACGAGAACAACGAACTGGTGTACTACTATTAAATAATTTCCTTGGCACAGTCTTTGCCAGCAGTATTATTAAATCACCTGATTCGCTATCTTTTTTTTTTTTTTTTTTTTTTTTTTTTTTTGGTGTGCAAATCCTTGAATAAGATGAAGGTAATATAATTATTCTTATCTTCTCTTTCTTCTGTATTCACCTCGGTGGGTATTTCATTGCGCTCTGTAACATACTTATTACATAATTGACAAGTGCATTGTCTCCTTCGCCAATTTCTTAAAGTTATCAAAGTTTCGCGGAGAATTTCGAATTCCGAAAATTAACAAGTTATGATCCACAACTGAGCAATTGAGTTATGGAAATTAACCACTTCCAGAAAGAGCCACATTTTTCATGGTTAATGAGCAATAATGTAATTGGTGAAAAAGGAACTGAATTTTATCCTGTGGAAAATGGCTGGAGAAAAATTATTTAATGTGAGCAATGTTAGTTTGTGTTAACTTAAAAAGAAACAATGCAAGTAAAAAAAAAAAAAAACCATACATAAGCTCGAAAAACATAAGCTTGAAATACATTGAAGTATTTGTATTGCATCCTGCTTAATAAATATATATTCTCTTATTATAACTTCATAGTAATCTGGTCTAGGAACTTAGAATGAATTAAAAATGAGTCCTAAAACATTTTTTGCTTATTCGAATGAAATAAAAATCTCAACAATGAGAAAAGTTGATTCAGATGAAATGATAAGTTTGTGCAGCCCTTTTGTCAAAAAAAAAAAAAAAAATATTACAGTATAGATAGTGTTAAACTAATTTAGCTATTAGAATAATTACGTTTATGCAAAACTAAAGAATATAGTTATTTTTTGTTAAAAAAAGTTTTTTAAAAATAGAGTTCCACTACGAATGAAATATTGTTGCAATTCTTTCCAATTAACCAATTTGTATTACTAGTGTGATTAAAAATATATGGAACGATTTATTTATAGTAAGTAAGTAAAAGAAATCATATGCAAAGTAATTTCAGAATTCATTTTCTTTATGAGTAAAATTATATATATTTATTCACTCAAGAGCCAAAACATTATGACCACCTGTCAATAACGAGTTGGCCCACCTTTGGCGCGAAACACAGCTTCAACCCGCTTTGGCATGGATTAATACCACCATTTAATACCAGTTAAATACCACTTCCACCTGATCACGTGCCTTCCACGTCATCCAGGCGAGTTCATTGCAAAATGTAGGGATGGTCATAATGTTTTGGCTCTTGAGTGTATATTGGTGATTTCAAAAATGGAGAATGAAATTAACAAGCAATACAATTTTCCACAAATTGAATGAAATTTCCCATTAGAAAATTGTTTTGTTGATATGGTACACGTTGAGAAAATTTTTTTCCATGTGATATAATGTTTAAAAAGAAAGAAGAAAATGCCAACACACTGTATTCTCTCAGTACACTGTCGTGATGTTTGGCTAGTTCATAGAAATTACGAGCTCAAGTGTTTAAAAGATTATTTGAATCTTCTGTAAAGGATTCATGACGGAGAATTCGTAGCAATTGTTCTGAATTATGGTGAGATTTCATGAATTTTACATTATGATAATGTACTCCACAATGCTCATTTTGTCAGGGATTTTGAAAATTTTATAAAATTATATCAAACTGCTTGTATGTGTAGTTGCATGGGATATGTGAACAAAAAAGGAAAAATTAGCAGTGATCTTTATTTTTCAAAACAAATTTGATCATCTTTGCGATATCCATCATTCCATAACTGTATACTTTTGCAGAAAAAGTCACAAGAGTCATAAATACAGGAAAGTTTTACAAACTCAGTTATGTAAGCATTGGGTGTTATGCAGAATAAAATCTAATACAAATATCTATATTTCAGATAAGCAATCTAAGAAAATGAATATGACCTTGAAAGAATTATTCATATTGCCATAAATTCTAACAAAATAATAAACAATTATTTAGTTGTACTATATTATAGAAAATGTTTACCTGTTTGTGACCAGCTCTGGTGATTTCTTTCATGTTGAAAAGTTGTCCAGTGTAAAAATGCACACCTTCCATGTGAATAACAGCGATGCTTTTACCTTCTTTTTCAATCAGTTCGAGAATGTCTTCAGGATTTATTATGTAATCATCCTGTCAAATGGGAGAAAATGGTATTTATGCAACTCAATAACATAAAAAGCGTATTAAAAATCTTAAATGAAGGAAAAAAAAAAAACCCCAATAAACATTCTTACTGATGTTGGCTGTAAAAAAAGTAGGCTCTCTTCGGGATCATAGCCACGAAGTGCTACGTGACTCTGCATTGCATACTGAAGCATAGGAAGTAAATTAAATATGAAACGTAATTTAATTTTCAGTAGAAATTTTTAATTTTTGTAATGATTAAATAATTTAATTCTTACCAAATCTGAACTGAAGCCACCTCCCACCATTAAAATTTTGTACCTTTCTGGAGTTGGTTTGTAAAAAGTAGCCTAGATGCAAAAAAAAAAAAAAAAAAATATTCGAAGATAATCGTTATTTAGATATAAATTAAGAATAAAAAATATTCAATTCGATTGTTCTTAAAGTGCAATTAGATTATTAAACAAATGATCTTAAACTGAATTAGAATGTAATATAGAAGCTAGTGTATTAAAAGTCTATAATTTGACCAAAAAAAAATAAAACAATTTGAAAATAAAAATTTAAAAATAACAAAAATAAATAAAATATATCATCGACACATAAATTTAAATGTCAATTTCTCTCATTTACAAAACAATAGTATCTAACACCACAAATGTATAAACATTTGTATAATATGATATCCTTATATATCGTACAATATATTATATGATATGGTAGGACTATCCTTACATATCGTATCGTATATTATATGGGATGATATGATATCCTTATATATCGTATCGTATATTATATGGGATGATATGATATCCTTATATATCGTATCGTATATTATATGGGATGATATGATATCCTTATATATCGTATCGTATATTATATGGGATGATATGATATCCTTATATATCGTATCGTATATTATATGGGATGATATGATATCCTTATATATCGTATCGTATATTATATGGGATGATATGATATCCTTATATATCGTATCGTATATTATATGGGATGATATGATATCCTTATATATCGTATCGTATATTATATAGGATGATATGATATCCTTATATACCGCATCGTATCGTATATTATATGGGATGATATGATATACCGCCGTATATTATATATCGTATCGTATATTATATGGGATATATATGATATTCTTATATATCGCATCGTATATTATATATGGGATGTGATATTCTTATATATCGCATCGTATATTATATGGGATGATATGATATCTTATATATCGTATCGTATATTATATAGTGGGATGATATATTCTTATATATCGTATCGTATATTATATAGTGTAATATTCTTATATATCGTATCGTATATTATATAGTGTAATATTCTTATATATCGTATCGTATATTATATAGTGTAATATTCTTATATATCGTATCGTATATTATATAGTGTGATATTCTTACCAGAAGGATATGAATGTTTACTGTAAGGCCATTCATAATAGCGACTTCTTCGGGCAAGGCACCTATGAAATAAACCATTATTATTTATTATCTTGTTCTAGGTATTTAAACTAAAAATTACTTTTCACATCAGATAGTTAATTTTTATTAATCTAAAAAAGGTTGAAGATAAAATATTAATAGAGATCAAGGCTAAGAATCCAGAATTTTCTTTTGGTGTAAACGAAAAACTCTATTTTTAAATAATTTTTGTAAACTTTGACATTGACATCAAATCAGATTTTTCTTTTCTTTTATATTGACTCGGATGCCACTATCGATGTTTCCAATCTTTTTGGAAATCTGAAGAGGTTTAATGCGGAAAAAAATATTTTCGAAAACATCTAAAGTGTTATTACACAATCTCTGTTTTGGCTAAGATTAATAATAGAAACATGGCATCATTAAAACTGTCGGTTTGATATCATTACGTACATTGTATTTCATTACTTTTCAGCACACAAATCATAAAAACATGTTTCGTAAATAGTTACAGAATACTCACCAACTAAATAAGCCATCTTTTCTTTCAGCGGTTTATCGCTTTCTGCAGCTGGGAGATTGCCAAGAAAATGACACTCCACACCTCTGAAAAGAAAAACATTTCTTGTTATTTTTTGTTTTACTTAATATATTTATCATTTCTGCATGAACTGCATTCATTCTGCATTTCTTGCAAAAATTACATTACTACAAAACATTTAATATATGTTCAATGGTATCAGAAAGTTAAAATGTGAAGATATGTCTACCCTCCAAGTTGTTCCAAAGATTTCGAATTCAAATGACAATTCTTATGTTCATTGACGTCAAACAAAACCGATCATGCTCCAAATTGATATTGATGATTAAAATGAAAGGTTAAAATCAAAATCATCTCAACTAAAAAAATTGCATGGAACTATCAAATTACGAATTATCTAAATATATAAAGAGTCATTTTGTATTCATATATAAAAATTAAAAATTTGCCTGCCAACGGCCATACCATGCTGAATATACCGGTTCTCGTTAGATCACCGAAGTCAAGTCATTCGAAGGGGGGTGAAAGGGGTTCCGTATCCAAAAGGTTTTAGCCCCAATTACTAATAAATAATAAAAATTAGCGGGGATGCAAATTAATAAAAGGTGGTATAACAATAAGAAAAATGATATAGTAAATAGTGCAAAAGTAGGGGGCGGGTGACGTGACTTGACGTCGGGGGATCGCCGAGGAACTCGGATTTATATCACCGAAGTCAAGCATCATTGGGCGCGGTCAGTACTTGGGTGGGTGACCACCTGGCAACACCGCCTGCCGTTGGCATTCACAAATTTGGGACCTGAATGGCCGAGTATCTAGCACTCCGGCGCTCGGTGCCACAGGTTTCGGGTTCGAGTCCCGGCGGTGCCATGGATGCTTGTAGTGGTTCGGAATCCACTTTAAGCCGTAGGTCCCGGTCTCATATGACTAAGAGCGTCCCGGAGCCAAAGTCAGACTTCTACCTACGGGTGCTCCATCGCAACAGAAGCTGCTTCCTTCAACTTCAATCATGAGTACGTATGGACTCGTGGGCTTGGCCAGCCAAGTGGGATAAGAAACAACAACAGAAATTTGCCTTGCAGGTCAACTCTATCCTAAAGTGATAGAAAATCATTCGTTGCCTAGGGATTCTTTAATGAAAAAAATAAAACAGTTTTAGTTTGATTTGGTTTGCCACTCTACTGTCATTTTTTTTGCACGTTTAAGGCTAATTAGACTGAGATCTATAGTTTAGAGTGGATTCCGAACCATTCGCAAACATCTATGCCCCCGCCAGGATTCGAACCTGAAGCCTGTGGTACCAACGCCAGAGCCCTTGACAAATGGTCCTCAGGCCGCAAAAACAGAAGCAATGCGATTAATTTGCAAAAGCTTGAATGGTCCAGAAGTGCATTGAAGGAAATTGGTGGAAATGCAAGACACCCAGCTAGAAGGGCTACATCGTGTATTTACCCAACAAATGGTTTAAGTCATCTCGAATTCGGTTCATGTGATAATTGCGATTTGAATCACTTTTGGATGATTCTCTGCATGGTATACAAGCCTACTTTGGAATGATTTCAGAGTGTAGGCATTATTTTAGTAGGCTTATTACATATACGTACTCGTATTTTTTTGTTATCTCATTTCTTATTATATATTTTTGTGGTCTGAGATGTTATCTGTTAAAATTTGTTATGAAGTCTTTAAGAGATATCCTTGGCTTATCAGCTCGACCAAAGATGTTATAGGAAGATTTCTTCTAGCCAACTTGAAGTAAAATATTTAGAGGAGTAGCATTATTGCGTGGGGCCTGAAGGCCGAGTGACTAACGCTCTGGCGCTCGGTGCCACAGGTTTCGACTTCGAGTCCCGGCGGTGAAAATGGAGGGTTATAGTGGTTCGGAATCCACTTTAAACCGCAGGTTCCGGCCTGATATGACTGCAGAGCAGAGGCATGACAACCCTATCCCGTAAAAAGAAAAATTCTATCTCGAAATCTGTATGCAGACGGTCTTGATTCACCGTGGGGCTGTTGCGCCAATGATTATCGAGTTATGCAACAACTATTACTAAAACGAAGGAATTTTTTTAAATTGTATAATATTACCTGCATATTAACTTGATGCTTTTAAAACATTTTAATTTAAATAGGTTCTCTGAATTATTTTATTTAAATATTTCCTGAACTCTACATTAGGCCATAAAGGATTCTCAAATTTGACTGTTTTTCCTATAGGGTGTGAGTACTTGTGACGTAGATTACAAAGACAATTTTGCCAAATATTTGGTTTAGTTTGCCGCTCTACGGTCATATTTTGCACACTTTAGCTAATTAGACCGTGACTAACAGTTTAGCGTGGATTCCGAATTCTAACAAACATCCATGCCACGGGCAGGATTCGTACCTGAAAGCTTGCGATACCAAAGGCTAGAGCGGTAGCCAATTGGCCATCAGGCCGCTTTTGACAAAGAGGAAATAGAGGACGAGGAATTGAATTTTAAAGTTATTACTTTTTCGTAATGATATTTGAAATTTTAATAGAATGCATTTATTGTCTTCCTTCTAATTACTTTCAAACTAATATTTAATGCGTACAACATTTTTAGTTTTTAATTTATGTGCAATTTGAAGTCATTTACTATTTAAATTTATAAACAAATCAAAATTTATAACTAAAAAAACATTTATTGATTTAATTCATTAATTTATTAAATTAATTCATATAAGTCAGTAGATTATATGGAATAAAAATGTGCTTTTTTTTTTTATTGCCGTCAGAATATAACTAAAGATTCGGTAAAATATTCGTTTAAGATCATTTTTAAACCTTTGAATGTCCAAATCTTTATTCCCGTAGAAAATTCCTTATTTCAATTGCAGTTTATGTATATAGATGAAAATATCGATATACTTTAAATTACAACATTAATTTGATTGCAGCTTTCAAAGACGATAAAAAGCATTTTATCTATCATTGATAATCGGATCTCAATTTCCTGAATAAAAAAAAATAAGAGTAAACAAATGCATGAAAGATTTAAGTATGTTTATTTTACTCTCCTTTAATTTGTGTTGGAAATAAAATTGAAAACTTTATTAGAGAAAATTTATGTATAAAAGTACAATGTGTTTGATATGTTAGAAATTAACAAGTTTTTCTAATATATATAGTGGTGCCAAATGTATTTGTATTCTAAATATACTTACTTTTCCGCCCAATCTTGCAAAACTTGATGAACAGAATCATCTACCGATTTCAACTGAAGTCCCAAAGAGTGTCCACAGAAGTAGATGGACTCTTCATTTTCATCCTTCAGATCATCTAGATGCACTGTTAAAAAAATGTTTAAATTTTTATCATGATGAAATTTACTTTTTCACTTTTTTTTTTTTTGTATTTCACTTTATATGCTTGTTAAATGTATCCGAAGAGGTAAGAGAATAATTTCACTTCGTACCAAAAATTGCAGAATTTTTTTGTTAAATTTCTTCAGAAACGGCATGATGAATTTAAAAATATATATCAGAAAATTTCAAATAATATAAAAACTGAAGTATTAACACTTATTGAATGAGGATTTAACATTTTTCAGTACACTTTTTGACAGTACTTCAATTACTGTGAATTCTTTGGAATTAGTCTTTAAAATAATTATTTGTTTTGAGTAATTCACTATATTGATGCATATTAAATGTGTTAATATTTCCTCTTAAAATTATAAAAAGTTACTGAAGTTTGCCAGATTTTTGAACTAAATCGCAAAATAGAGGCCGTTAGAATTTGGAGACTTTTGTGGCGCCAACTGGGAGATAAGTCGCAAATGTAGTAACACGGGTTTCTTGTTCAATTCCTTCTACTAACTCACTCTCACCCTATATATATCTTGTTCAAATTTTCAATCGTTCATAAAATACTTTTTTATTCAACCACTCTAATTTGTAGTGGATGACACTGGATGTTAATACAGTTTTTCAAATATTAATGCATTAATTAAATTTAATTAATTAAATTTAATTAATTAATTTTAGTTTTTTTAGATTTAAATTGCATATATCTACCAATAGATGGCGCCAGATAAACTTAAAAAAATGAATGAAAATTATTTATAAAGGACTTTCTGCAATTGAGTGAAAAAAAAAGTAGGAATTGACTTAATTTTTTTTTTTTTTTAATATTGCTTGTTATGTTGTATTTCATTTCATATGCTTGTTAAATGCATTCAAAGGGGTAAGAAAATAATTTACCTTCGTGCCAAAAAACCAAGAGGTTTATTGTTAAATTTCTTCAGAATTGGAGTGAATAATTTAAAAATAAGTATTAATATCTCAGCTTTTACAGTAGTTAAAATTTTTTAACACAGTTAATTGAATGATGATCTGCCATTTTTCAGTAAATTGTTTTTCACAGTAATTCAATTATTGTGAAAGCATTTAGAATTATTTTTAGAATAGTCATTTGTTTTGAGAAATTCTCTATATTGCTGCATATTAAATATATTTAACTTTCCTTTTAAAAATTAAAAAATTAGAATTATTTGAACGCTACTTACCACCGCTCAAATTCTTTTTCTTTGGATAGTTAAATCGCTTGCGAAAGTCTTTCAGAGGATCTTCTTTATCCAGCTGCTGAGCAAACTCTAGGGTGTCTATGTCAACCAACCAAGACTGGGATTTCTTTGTGAAGTCGCCGAAAAGGGTCTGAGTACTTAACTGCAACTCGGATACAGTAGTCATTGTTCCTGAAAATACATATTTTATTGAAAAATTTTAAAACAACCAATTTTTTTTTAAGAACATGCTGTTGCTTTCATTTTAACTTGCAAAATTAATTATGTTTAACATATATTCTTCAATGGCGTAACAGCCCCATGGTGGGCCAAAGTCGCCTACTAGCAGCCTAAAGTCTGCCTACTGGCAGATTCCGAAGCATGAGATGCTTTCTTTTTACAGGTTTGGTTTGTCGCTATACGGTCATTTGGTGCACACTTTAGGCTAACTATACTAGGACCTAAAGTTTAACGTGGATTCCGAACCACTCACAAACATCCATGGCACCGACAGGGATTCGAACCTGAACGATATGAAATAGGAGAAACATATTTCATATCATTCAATTCTAGAATCAATTGCGAATAATCTGCTATATAGCAGGATTAAGATTCATTTTTAAATAATGATCCAAAATTCATAAAGATGTTTGAGCAAGTTCAAACAAATAACAAATCATTACGTAATTATTTACATATACACATTTAAATAAGTATAAAAGAAATACATTTCCAAATCGATAACATTTTTTTCTGACTTGTTGTCTTCTAATCATCACCTTTGGAGAAATTAATTATTCTTCTGCTTATCGGCAGTACAGAATAAAAGAAAACAGTCTACTAATTGGATTTTTCGATGTATTACATGTGGCATTAAGTAACATAATACGTACTTATCTATGCATGATTGCCTCCGATTTATGTAAAACCTTATTTAAACGCTTGTAGTAATAAAGAAATTGATTTATGAATTTTAAACAAGGTACTCATGCCTTGTGATATGTGTAGCGGTGCGCGAAGGCGGAATTGTTTACAATTCCGCGTTTTGCTCACTGATTCTTCAGATCTGGTTAGCATTCATCCCAAAGCAATTTTTTTTAAACATTGAAATTGTATAAAGAATTGTTGTTTTTATACATTTTTTGAGCATACAGCAAAAAAAAAAATGATATAATTGATTGCTAATAATTCAATATCAATTCTTAGATGTTTTTGTTATCGTGTCCATGGATTTAAAATATAATTATCA